AGACTCAAAGAGCAAGAAGCAAAAGCAAAAATAGACAAACGGGATTACATTGATTTAAAACCTTCGCACAGCAAAGGAAATAGCACACTAAGGATAAAACCTGTGAAATAGAATAATATATTTGAAAATTATACCCTCTAAAGGCATTGATATCCAAAATTAATGAGGAACTCCAAAACTGCAATAAAAAAGTAAAAAACCAAATAACCTGATTTTAAAAAGGAACAGTAGAGCAAGGCATGAGAGAGAATCTTGTAGTCCCAGCACTGGCCCGGAAGACTGAAGTGGGAAGACCGGAAGTTCTAGACTACCCTTGGTGACTCAGCAACTGGGCAAGACCCTAACTCAAAACACAGAGATAATAGAAGGGAAGGAATGGAGCTCAGAGTAAAGGCTGTACAACAAAAGAGGTGTAGGAGGTGAGGGCCTAAACAGATATATCTCAAGAGGAGACCTAAAATACCCACAGGTTATATGAAAAAAAGTGCAACTTCACCAATCAAAAAGATACTCATGGCTTTGTGATTGCTCATCTCTTTTCTCTCTTTGTTTTACACAATCCTCCGTGAATATCTTATGAAAGAACAAATATGATGTGCTTATATCTGTGTCACCCAATCGTGTACTATGTGGATGGGAAAGCACCCCAGTGCTGAGAAAATAACCAGAAGCCAATATGTTAACTCATATGTCTGATTTATGTTACCAATTAAATGTCATGTGATGCATAACTTTTTCCAGGAAATAAATCAGTTATCTTTTGTTCACTTTCAAGAAACAATGTAACGCAGAACCATAATTACATAGCATCTTAAAAGCATATGAATCCCTACATCAAAATGAGTAAAGATAACCAGTGCTGGCAGGGAGGTGGAGAGAAGGGAACACTTGCATACTGTTGAGGAGAATTTAAATTACTACAGTATGGAGGCTCCTCAGACAATTAAAAATAGTCTACCAGGAGATCTGACAATCATCCTGCTGAATATAAATTGAAAGGAAATGAAGTCAGTATGTCCAAAAGACATCTACACCCCCAAGTTGATCTCTGGGCTCTTCTCGACAGCTAATCACTGAGTTTGTTAACTGAAGAATAGATAAAAGAAACTGGGGCACATGTATAATATACATGTATATGTATGTAGGCATAGAAACATCTTGGGGTAAATAATGTGTATTATATATAAAGTAAGTCATATTGTTTTCTTTTGTCACTAAAATAAATTTAATTTCTAACACACAATAGACAGCTTGATCTTGGTAGGCAGTTTAATTGCTTCATTCCCTGGAAAGCAGAATGAGGAAAAGTAGTCACACATGGAAACCTCTAGAGATCTTCAGACCTGGAGAATTATCACCAGATCACCATGGATTATCAGCTCATGTAAATCCGATGACTCACCACAACATTCAGGAAGAATGAGCTGTCTGCCATTGCTGTGAGCACCACTGATTCACGAGCCTGACTGATACAAACAACTGCTCTTCTGGCCTGAGGATTTGTTTCAAGCCTGTGACTATGGACAGAGAAAATACTCAAAGAAAACTTCCATGGACCTTTAAATGCTAGCTGCATCACACCTGGTTTAATAGAACTCTTCTTTCTTTGTTAATCAGGAGCTGTGAAGTATAATAGAGAAATGATCTATTTCCATACAGAGAGGAGGTGAGTGATTCTTAAGAGGCACAGGAATAACTGTGTTGGGAACCTGGTCCAGACTAATGTTCTTCCCTCTATCCCTTGCAGCTGGACAGGAGCTGGGGACAATCTGACCACTGCTTGTGTACAAACTCCTATACCAGAATTCATGCAATGTGCTAAGTTTATGACTTCTTATTCACTATTGTAGATTTTTTTCTTCTAGTAAAAGGGTAAAGTTTCCATATTCCTCATGCATTGTAGTGAGAGGTATAATTTATATACAAAAGTTGGCTACCTACCCTATTATTAGTAATTGGAGAACAGAAAGTGATATTTTTCACAGAATTTTTGAAAAGTAAGAGGAATCTGGTGGTTAAATGTCAGAATATTATCATAGGTTATTTAAGTATTATCATGGGTAATTTACAGAATCCATACAAAAATTATGCTTCTTTTTTAAAAATAAGAAGAAAAAAGGTCACAGTTTGACTAATTAATGACATTTATTTCATTCAATATATATTTACAACTCCCTGGAGGTTTAAAAAACACCCACAGAAACCCAGAATAGTGTCATGACTTTTCATTGTATTCCACTGGGATTCTACATGAAATAAGAGGATTCACTGTGTGTTCAATTCTTCTGTCACCAGCCCATATTAATTCTTGGATGGTGCCTTTACCACTTATATCTAGAGTGCTTCTCACATTAGGTGCATAATGTTAGGCCATCACACCATTTCTCAAACACTGCTTCTTTGTGGGTAATGTGGAAAAAATACTATTAACTACCCTACACACATCTACATATAATATTTATGTATAAATGCACTAAGCTTTATTGTATAACATAGTATATGCTAAAACTGATCATTTGTCCTCTGGATAGTATCTCATAGGGCAACCTCAGAAAATGAAGTTGCTAAAAGCTTAAGAGAATGACCTTGTGGGTAGTGTTGAGTAGATATCCTTCCCAAGGCTTCAATTCTAAAAAGAAACTTTAAATACTAGTACAACCTCAGTGATTCAAATATAATGTTTTAAGATATAAAATTTACCACCCAAAAGATCTGGGAGTTAAGTGCAGCCATAAATTGGGAATTTTCAACACTTGGCCTTTGGAATATGGCTATGGTATGTAACAATGAGAGAAAGAATGCATTTTAGGAGAAATAGACCATCTTTCCCAAACTAAAATAGGAATTTCAATGAAGCAATTTTCAGAACCAATGCCCCATATCCAACTGCAAAAGCACCAATTGTATTCCTGGAGAAACTGAGACCAAAAAGCATGGTACTAGTATGGGAGGGAAAGAAAAGTGAGAGAGAAGCCTGAAGACTTCAAAATCACTTACAGCTGAAGGCCTGTGTGCCAGCACCCACCTCAATCAACCCAACATGAAGACCAATATTCCATCCTACTAATAATATGACAGCTAGCACTCAGCAGGCCAGCATTTACTGTATTCAGATGTTATCTTACCTAATTCTTACAATATTACCTCGCTTATCTCTCACTGCTATATTTGCAGATGGAAATAAAATGCTCATTGCAGTTGGTCTAGCACCACCCATCCCTAGGCAGTAAATTTCACGTCTTAAATCTGTTGTCCAAGAACCCAAGATCAATGTGTACTACTTCTGATGCTATGCCTTCATGCAGAATTGCTTCTATGTTTCTTCAGAGACCAGAAGTGATGCATTTTTCATGATAATTTCTCAATAAACATTTGTCAAATGAATGAATAAAGTAATTGGGCTTTTATATTTGCACCAAAATTTTAAGTCTTAAATCACTGGGTGGCAGTCAATGCATTTCAAGAGACATCACATTTTCTGCAGTTCTGAAATATTTCTTTCTACTTGCTCCCACCACCCCAGTTATCTCACCACAACTAACAGGCAGAGGGAGAAGTAATGAGGATTCAAGACCTAAGCTCGTCATTAACCTAATCCAATATGGTGAACCTATGACACACATGCTGTAGTGGGATGTTTGTTATCATTGAAAGTTCTAAAAGCTTTGCCATTACTAATGTAGTCAAAGATTTCTATATATTTATATCATTGACATGGAGTTGTGCTGAAGATAATAAGCATTAGATCCATTACATTTTGTGGTCCTTATTTACATAGGAAATGGGAAGAAAATATTGAAATGAGAAGGGGAACAAGGAAAGGGAACAGGATAAAGAAGGGAGGGAAAAGAAGAAAAAGAAAATAGAAGGGAAGAATGAAAACAAAGCTTGTTTTATTTTGTAAATAAAGAGAAGAGGGTTTAAAGAGAGCAGAGGGAAATAGAACAAAAGGACCAAGTTATATTATGTGCAGATATAAATTCCATGTGATGATATGACCATTAAGTGTATCACAAATGTACCTACAAAATAATAATTAAGCATTATATCCAGGGGAACAGTTGAAAAGCAATTCAAATCTTGTAACTTGTGAAAGGACTTCTTTGTTGTTGAAAGAAAGATCAGTCTTACAAATTTTTGCTTCTTTGCTTTACCCCAATGAAAATGAATATATGCAGTGAACAAGGTGAAATTACTACCGAATAAATCACTTACTTCTTCACTGTGAAACTGCAAGCAATGATTTTTTGACCCAAAGAAGACAGGGAGTAACTATAAATTCTGTTCAATTAAATCCAATTTAGATCCACTTTGGAGCCTTAGACTGGGAAAGAAGTCAGCGTGGTTTAAAGATTGGTATGGAGGCCTGGGTGTTTAGCTCAGCGGCGTAAGTGCTTGCCTGGCAAGTGCAAGGTTGTGAGTTTGATCCCTGGTACCAAAATAAATAATGAAACAAATTAAATAAATAAAATAAATAAAGATTTGTATGAACCAGGGCAAAGATGGTCAGTTAGTACTTGGCAACTGTGAGTCAGTTACTCCATTATTGGGCAGAAGCACGGGTATAACAGTGAATCAAGCTTTTTGTATGACTGAGCAGAAACATGGGGCACACCTCAAGTGTCTGCAGCAGTTCAGCGGTGAGCAACACAGAAGCATCAGCTTCTACAGAGCTCAGAGGAGTGAGATCCAGTGAGATTCATCCATCCAGTTGGTTTCATCCAGTTATTTCATTGTCTACAATTTAGTTACCCAGTATAGAACATTTTTAAATTGTGTGCACAATACATTGACATTTCTCAGATTTGAGAGCATGTAACCCTATATATAGTTAGCAAATGTGCTCAACTTGGCTTTGATGGTAATAATTTTCTCGGGAATCTAGAATTATAAGTTATTGTTACACTGAAAAAATATTTTCTCTACTTTCCCATTTGTTTGATTTCCAATCATTTTGTTCCTTGATTTCTTATTGCTGCAATGCACCTAGCTATTCTCATATGACATTGATGGAGAACAGGACAGAGGTGACAGAGTTCCTCCTGCTGGGACTGACCAGTGACCCCCACCTGCAGCTTCCCCTCTTCATCACCTTCCTCCTCATCTACACCATCACTGTGGCTGGGAACCTGGGGATGATCCTGCTCATCCTCCTGGACTCCCGTCTGCACAGCCCCATGTACTTTTTCCTGGGAAACCTGTCCCTGGTAGACTTTGGATACTCTTCTGCTGTCACTCCCACAGTCATGGCTGGGCTGCTTACAGGAGACCAGGTCATTTCTTACAGTGCTTGTGTTGCTCAGATGTTCTCTTTTGCAGTCTTTGCCAGTGTGGAAAATTTTCTCTTGGCCACAATGGCCTATGACCGCTATGCTGCAGTGTGTAAGCCCCTACATTATGCTTCTGGAATGACAACAAGTATATGTATGTGGCTGATTATAGGTTGTTACACCATTGCTTTCCTAAGTGCCTCCACCTATGTTGGGGATACATTCAGTCTCTCCTTCTGTAAATCCAATGCTGTCCACCACTTTTTCTGTGATATCCCAGCAGTCATGGTGCTCTCCTGCTCTAACAGACATCATAATGAGCTGATTCTTGTTTATGTTGTGAGCTTCAACATCTTTTTTGCCCTCGTAATTGTCTGGATATCCTACGTTTTCATTTTTATCACAATCCTGAGGATGCGCTCAAGTGAGGGACACTGGAAGGCTCTATCCACCTGTGCCTCCCACCTCACCGCAGTCTCCATCTTCTATGGCACTGTCATCTTTATGTATCTGCAACCCAGCTCCAGTCACTCCATGGACACGGACAAAGTTGCATCCGTGTTCTACACCATGGTCATCCCCATGCTGAACCCCTTGGTCTACAGCCTGAGGAACAAGGAGGTCAAGAATGCATTCTTGAAGGTCAAGAGTAGATTCATCTGTTGGATGAAATAATTTCTCAAACTTTGGTTTGGGGTCTGAGCAGTTCATGATCCCTAGTGTTCTTAGACCTTCACCATGTGTCCAGTTACACGTAATATCCACAATGAAAATGAATTTGTGAAATGATGCACACTTATGTCTGTAAATTCGTTGTCTGGAAAAAAGAAACATTATTTCCAGGAATAAATGTCTGTGTGAGAATGCCTGTGATATCTTAAGAAATACTTTTCAAAACCCACAGTGAGAATATGGATGTTTTTACTTATTTTCTGTGCATTTTTCCTATTTCACTGGAATGCAGATGTGTACAACAGGTGCTACACAAGAAATACATTCAAGTTCATTTTGTTACTCACATAAGGATATTGTGAATGGATTCTAGTGTTTTGTTGGAAGCTTCCTTATCCTCTTTACACATATTTAAGCTTCTATACCATAGCGTGAGCATCTTCTTCTTAGCTATGGTCAATCTCTCTCTCTCTCTTTCTCTCTCTCTCTCTCTCTCTCTCTCTCTCTCTCTCTATCTCTCTCTCTCTCTCTCTCTCTCTCTAGTTAAGCACACTTTCTGTTATTCATGTATCTCATAGTTGACTTTTCTAATATTACAGTGTGAACCTTTCATCTCTCCAAGGCTGTTTTGTGATTTCTTGCTCTGGGTTTAGCTGTTTAGTAAACTGCTCACAAGAGTTTAAAAGGTTCCTTTTCCTGGTGTAAGCTTGCAGTTGCACAAATGTGCTGTGTTAAATCAACTTTTTCTTACTTGAAAAATAAAATTTTTTCATCTATTTTTATAAATCTTTGACAATTTCTCAAATTTCTGACCAAGTTTTGTTTCTATTTGCAATATTTCTGTAGAGTAACAGACCCTTGAAGTACCCAGAGTATCATTTTTCCTAACTCCATCCTATAAGGGCTTAACGGATGTACTGTCAGGACCAGGCAAAGAAAACACTCCACTTCTTATCTTGCTATGCTTCATTTAACTGCCATTGACATATTCCGACATAACTATCAGTGTCAGGTATTAGGTCTGATCCTGTGGCGGACGTGGCTTAGTCTCCAATGGTTTAGCTTCACACTCCAGTGGCACGGGTCAGATGGTTAAGTCAAGGTGCCAACTGCCTGTCTTGCCCCAGGCTCCAGCAGATAAGGCATCTGGACCTGCAACTGCTTGGTCAGGAAGACAGGCCACCCCAGGATAGAAGAAAGAACTATGGCAAGGTTGTGTGTGCTTCAAATAATGAAAGGATCTTCCCCCAGTCTACTGTCCTATATCCTGCCTGGGTGAAATATGGCATGATCATGTAGGGGAACAGATGTGTTATTCTGAGACTCCCATTTTTGTAACACAGGCTGTTTCAAACTTTACAAATGATATGTATAGTATTTAACAGTGAAATTCCTGGTATGTGGCAGACCCTGTGTTGTGCTTTGTATACTTGTCATGGAGTGGTCCTTCTGAAAATTCTATGAGGATAACTGATATGGTTTATACACCGTATCAACTTGAGAATTCTAGAAGTTTAACTAAGTGACTCAGCAGTTATATATCTCAGACTGTAGAGGGCAAGCTGTTACCATTCTAAGATATTATCCATTGTATCAGTTTGAGAAAGTCAGAAGTTTAACTAAGTGATTCAGCAGTGGGGTGGTCCTTAGTTTGTAACATCCTCATCCTATGCAAACAGAGGGCAGGTAGATGGTGTGAGTGCTACACCCAAGCCAGGGGAGTAGCCCATATGCAATAAAAGGCAAAGAAGGAGGGTCTGGTTCCTGGGTCTGCTGAGGAGCTCCAGTCTTCAACTTCAGGTTGCGTGTTACAGTCTCCTGGCTTCTGGCATAGACTAATTTGGCTTCTGCCTGGAAGCCTTCATCGTAGACTCTTCAGCCTTCCATCATAGATTCTTCAGTGCTCAATCATAGATCCATTTGGCTCATGATATGGACTTGCACAAGATGCTACTGTGAGCTCCAGCCCTTGGATTGGACAATTCAGCCTCCAGTGTGCAGACACCCTCTGCACGCTCCTTCATCTGACTTGGTGGCTGACCATTGTAAACCAATCTTGTAATTTCTTATCCATTTGTATATCTGGTGTTATATCTGTTTCTCTAGTAAACACTGACTGATACAATAACCACAATACAATTCCCCCTTACTTGAATTCAGGTGAAGTCACATAGATGCACGGAACAAATACCTAATGCAAATCTTGCCTGCTCTGAGGAAGATAGGTAAGTCGATGTGGAAGTGCAAACAGAGGTCACTGTGCAATAAAAAGGAAACCCTGTCCATTGTTGCAGAAAGGCATTCCCAGAGCAGGGATAGGGTGGCAACATTGCTGAGTGTGCAAGAATAAAAAAAAATTATTAAGGAGGTTGGTTGAAATGTAATGGCGAATGACCACAATGAAGAATAATTGACCAAAAGTAATAATTAATAAAACAGCACAAGTGTACATAAAGATGTGAATCAATCTGGCTGAGTGAGTTAGGGATGTTCAAACTTGAAGGACTTCTTCAGAAAAGTTTGGCCATTATTTATTCAAGTCAACAAACAGATGGCATCAGGCAGAACAATCTGATCACTAAGTGTTTACTAATGTGACATAAAAATCTGTGCACAAATAAACATCTATCTTCAGATATTTACACTGACCTGAATGATAATAACAGAAAAAACATAAACTAAAACCACACAATGTGCCTCAAGGTAGGGAAAAAACAGATTGCATTATTCATGCAGTGGAATACTATTCTGCAATGAAAAGATTTCACTGTGATTATTGGTGAGAGGGGAGGGGTGAGGAAAGGCAGAAAGAGGAAACAGCCTGAAAATGATCAAGATGTGTTACACATGCACTGATTCCCCAAAATGATCATCACTATGCTGTTTTTCAAACAGGCACTAGCAAAAACTTTAAATGATAGTTAGCCCATCAAGAAGAAATACTCCATGTCCTCTTAGAGGACAATGATAAGGGAAAATGGCAGAGAGGGGGGACCTTATATTCTAGGAGGAGGCCTAAGGACATTCTCATGGTGGCAAAATTACTTGGATCCAAAAAGTTTGCTGGATGCAAAAGGTACTACATGAGCAAGAACATGTCAAAGAATAGCTCAGGTAAATCAGTTTAAGTGTCTGTAGTGACGGTTACATGATTGCATCAACCTAGTCACTAAAAACATGTGGGTATTACAGTGTGTGAGCTATGAATTAACTAGAAGCTCTAAAAAGAAACAAGAAACATCAGATAGTGAAAGACATTTGTGCACTGACTCGATCCCCATAGACAGCTTTATTGCTTCTCCCCTAGGAAAGGAGGATGCGGAGCTGTAGATAATCTCACAGGGGAAATCTCCAGGGGTCTCCAAGTCTGTGCAGTTCCCTCCAGAGCTGGATGAGTTAGAGTCTGAAAGCCTGCTGTGACTCAGCCTCATGCTGTTTGAGGACAGCTCTGCTGGCCTTGCCGCCCCAATCATTATTCATACAGCTAATGATGATCACACTGGGGACACACAGGCCATCTTGTGACCTGAGGATTTTCCATGAGCCTGCAGCCCTGGTCTGGAACAGTCTCAGAGATAAGAATCATACTGACTGATTGTCAGTAAGACATGCTTCATGAAATATCTTCTAGGCTGATCTTATTTGTTATTTATAGATACAACCTTCAGCTTCTACAAAGGTGTGTTTTTTAAGGAGAAGTGAAGTATTCCATGAAACAGAAATAATTTGTGGTAGATTTAGAACTTGACCCATATTAATGTGCTCTCCTCTATTTTTTATACTGTCTTACAGAAGTTGGAAACTTTTGACCACTACCTGGGGAGAGAACTCCTGGAACAGAACTGAACAATATTCCATGTCTCATAGTGTGATTTCAGACTTGCTGTTAGAAATTGACCCTTCTGTCTCTTTTGCCAAATTGGTAAACTTGTATTTCTATATTTGGTAACTCTAGAGAGATACTGAAAAAAAGACAATTTCAACATTTTTCTAAAAATTCATGTGAGCCTATAGTGTGAATGTCAGAATTTCTGCAGAGTCAGGAACTGTCATGAGATTTCATGTTCATTTCTCCAAAATGCAAATTTATGATACTGATTGATCACCAGAGCTCCAGTAATCACTGTATACTTTTTCACTATATATTTAACTCTTGCTAGAGGTAAACAAACAAAAGTAAATGTACAAAACCCCCAGAAGAGTGAAATGATCCTTCTTTGAACCACAGAAAGATCCTAAATGGGTTAACATATTCTAAACTGCATTCTTACCTTTTCCCCATAATGTCATTCAGATTATTACTATATCAACTTGTATTGACAGTGACATGACAGAGGTGTGTATTATTCATTAGGTTGCAGATGACTTGCAATATTGATTTTTTTTGTGTGTATTCCATGTTAGCTATGCAGTTTTAGAGGATCAGATAACTACTCAAATTTCCTTGATGAAAAAGCAAGAATAATAATGCTAATATTTCTAACTGTATTACATACCAATACATATACAAACCCTTTTATATATAAAGCTTTTCTTGCTGTTACTTGCTTAAGTCATCAGTGTGTTAAAAGTTGGCCTACACAGTTATGAATGTGTCAAGCTCATGGCTGAATTTGCAAAAGGTTTTTAAGAAACATACTAAGTAACAGGAAAAAGTTTGGGATGAAAATCATTCCAAAGGCATCAATTTAAATGAATTATGCAAGTGTAGTACCACATTGCTATGGTCCTGGCTACTCAGTAGGCTGAGGCAGGAGGATGGCTGAAACCCACAAGTACCAGGACATCTGAGCATCATCTCACTAGGTCTGAGTTCACTGCACTAGATGATTTATCAAAATAAAGGTGAGAGGAAATAAGGAAGGAAGAAAAGAAGGAGGGAGAGAGAGAGAACGGAAGGAGGGAAAGAAGCGTGAAAGAGAGGGAGGGAATTCATCTTCAACCCAATCAAAAATTGATATTTTTCACCACCTGATATCAACATGTGTAAGAGTGCTGCTGAT